TAAATCCAACAATACAAAGGGTTTGGTATTTTGCTCAGAATCATCTCCACAGTTCCAGGCCCACTTTTCAATGCCTCATTGGACATTTACATCTAGGTTGGCCCCACATACTGAACCCCAAGTTCATCATCACTTCCACTAATAGGGCTGTTTTGAAATTCAGATTTCTGGTCTAGGTGCTCTCCCAAATAAAAAGGTCAAACCCTAACCTCATCGCTCAGTCTATTTCACTTACAACTTTCCATTCTCTAACCTTTCCACCATCCATTTCCCACGCCATCCCCCTGGCTCTGATCTATTACCTCTGAAGAGCTTTCTTGTCTTCTAATACGTTTCCCGTCCTCTCATCAATGGTTATTCCAATGCATCCTAATTGGCTTCCAGGATTGCTTGTGTCGAGTAGAGCTATGATCATTATCCTGCTGCAGAAACCTTCATGAACTCTCAGGTGGCTATGGAATTAAGACCAACTTCTCAGTTTCATTCTTGAGATCCTCTAGCCCACTGTAGGGAGTCCTAGTGGTGTAGAGCTTATGAGATGGACTTCGACCCGCAAGGTCAGCAGCTTGAAAGCACCAGCCTCAGCATGGGAGATAGACTGGGCTCTCCACTCCCCGAAGAGTTACAGTCTCAGAAACTCACAGGAGTGTTCTGTCTGGTCTGGTAGGGTCAATATGAGCAGGCATCCACTAGATGGCAGTGGGTTTGATTTTTGGTTTTAGCTCACCTGTGGTAGGCCGAAACCAACCAACCAACAAACAAACCATGGTACCCAAAGATTTACCCATTTCTAAATTTCCTGAACTTATGAATTGTCTCTTATGTGGCAAAAGAGTGAGTATTACATTACAGGAAAGATGATGTGATTAAGTTAAAAATGGTGACAGAAGTGCATCCTGGATGATCTGAATTGTTCCAAGGACAATCACATGCATCCACATACAAGAAAGGCAGATGGGGATGAGACGCACAGGGATGAATGAGCAGAAGGTGATGCGATAACAGCAGAGATTGGAGTGATGTGACCACAAGCTAATAGACCCTTAAACTCCGAAGCTACAAGAGCCAACAGGTTCTCCCCCGCGCTGTCCTGCTGAAACCTTGTTTTCACATGCGGGCCTCCAGAATCACGAGAAACACATATCTGCTGCGTAAACCTCCCAGTGG